ATGTTTTTGATAAGGGAATTAAAGTTGTGTTTGGGACCATACGTTTGCAGTATTTCTGCAATTGTTTTCAGCCTACTAGTAACATCTTGATAACGTTTGTAATTGCTTTGTCAAATGCAATTTTCAAAAGTATGTTTTCTTTTTCCTTGCAGTTTATGTTTGTTTTATCCATATTGACAGAAAGTGTCGACAGCGCACACTAATTATCTACTACATTTGGGTGCTTTTTTGCAAGCCAGCTGTTGTGCTCGAGAAGATGACACTATCATCCGAACAAACAAGACAAAATAGTTGCGGGATACAATTGTCTGCCATCTGTGCAGTTTCCATGAATTTGATGTACTCACTTATTTTTGAAGAATGAAAATAGAAATGGGTTTAATAGATATCCTTGGCCAAAGGCGACGTTAATTATGAAATCTTAATAACATAGCCTCTATTTTTTATGAGAACACACAACAGTCCATCTTCACTATTAAGTTCTAATTTTATGAAACCCAAAGCCTATCTAATTCTGTGTTGTAGAAGGTAAGATAACAGCATTGTCAGTGGTAGGGCTGCCTATCCTAAAACCGGCTTTGGACTCTTATGTATCAATATATCTCATATCGTATATATCTGTACGAATCAGCCCAGAACACTACTCTAATACTGAAAATACAATACAGCTGAATATGATGACGATGCGGCAAGGTAAATAGCGTTCTAGATCTGGTCCGTGGGTGGATCGTATTGCTCAAACACTATATGATGTTTACGCAAGACTTACGATACGAGTGTCTAATTTTGATTTTACATGTATGGCACATGTGGTTGTACAAAATCCGCTTATCATCATGAGGGTTACACTTTCTCTCTGACATGACGTCACATGGTCACTTTGATTTTTGCACTGGTTCCCGGAATAAACATACAGAAAACTAAGCGCCAAGCCTCACCCCTGGAACATATCAATCATTGTGTCTGTATCATATCACTTAGGAATATATTAACAAGTGCTTGCGCCAGGTGACACTATAACTGTATATAGATACCACATATTGCCTTAAACTATAGGGGGTTAGCAACCAGAAGAATAGGTCTATTTGCCCGCGGCCTGATCACTGGTTGCTCATCAAACGGTTTAAATTCAAAATAGTTTGTTATCTGTCCTGAAGTGAGAGTTGCCAATACAGCCAGGGATGACCGTTACTTCAGGGAAAACAGTATCAACATTGTTGTTGGCTAATGCAGTCGGGGCCGCGTCGTGAAGTACTGTTGCTAGATAGAGATCATTGCGGAAGTAGCACTGACAGTGCAGCTTGACACAATTTCCTCTCAGGCTGTTGGTTCGTGTGTTGATCACACTGGCAAGACACTGATGTGGAGTTACACTGTCTTACATTAAGTGTTATCAAGTGTTATCATTGTCAATGGTCAGTCAGCCAGAAAGGTCTTGCCTTAGTTGGATGTTTTCGAATCTCCTAATTGACCCTTTATTTAGACGCGTTCCTCATCTTACATCTATGGTAGACTTTCACACTTTGTATGAAACTCACTTTGCTTTTTTATCCTCCATTGTCGTCATTAAAACAACTCACAAAAATTGTATCCAATGTTAACACGGCCGACCCTTGCCGAAATTTGGATCTATTACTCAGCCATGTATGAATGTATTCCTTAATTAGCATGTGGAACATAGTTCCACATATCCTACTGACTACCCGATAGTTCTACACCCTGATGCCTGTGACATAAATCTGTCAAATACGTATGTGACGGAAATCCAAACACTCTGTTGGGGGATAACATATGCAGATAGTGTACAGTATTAAATATATGCACCATCACTCCCATGCAAGGCTTAGGGGTCCTCGGAATAGAAACCTGTTCTTCTTAATGACGTGTTACAGCATGCACCTGAACACACTGTCACCATCTCAGTGGCCCGGCGCCTTTAATGGTCGCAGAACCCCGTGCACCACACGACAGAACACTAATCCCGCAATCCTTACAAGGTTAAATGACCAAGGTCGTAAATATCCCACAAGTGTATAATGTAAGGTGGTATAAAAGTAGGCATCCTTGTCCGACGTGATGTAAGCCTTCGGAAAGTTTGGACATGGAAGGTAGCCGTCAATGCCCACTTACTGCTGCCCCCACCCACCTAAAACCTGACTGCAGGGGTCTCCCCAGAGGGCATATAGCGTTAGTTGGTGTCACATGGACTCAATTCAGTTTCATGTTGGAAGTGGATACCTTAAATCAATGTAATGGATGGAAGATGGTGTAACATGTGTTCGCTTGACATAACGTCAATACTACTAAGCTTCGTATGAAGCGTCATCTCAGTAATGACGTCGGCATCCACTGGTCCAGTGGTGTCACTGACGTATCTTCAATATCATTAGTTTTCCTTTATTCTGTGACAATTTCTTAGTTGAGATGGATGTAGGCATAACAGGAACAGCGTACTTGTAGCCCCCCCAGACTAGCACATCCCCCGTGTGACAAACAGTCAGTCCAGGGATGCAAATCGTTTTCGTTTTAGCCAACATACATAACCAGTCCGTGGCATTGAATACCATTCCCCTATCCCCCCCCCCCCCCCCCCCCCTCCCCCCCAAAAAAAATCCCCCCAAAAACGCACGCACGCACGCACGCACGCACGCACACACACTCAGCACATACAAGATTCAGCTGTAGCCATATATACTCTTGTCAGAACAGGGTCAGCATGTTCATCCAGTCATCTCCACAACACACAAACTCATTCACAGTGGAAGGTTGCATGAACGTGGCAGGTTTGTTAATAATTACATATTTACATTCATGTACTACAGATTAAGACTCACACTCACTGGTTGTACGCTAATCTCCCATTCCCTTGTCATAGAGGCATGTAGCGGGGTACGCCCTAGGCTAATCTTGACGCAACCACACTGATTTCTTCTGCCAGCATGATATAGAGGACGAAGGCCATGTACTAAGTGATTTGAACCTCTGTGTTGTCTATTGATATGAGCCTCTGTGTTGACTATTGATATGAACCTCTGTGTTGACTATAGATATGAACCTCTGTTTTGACTATTGATATGAGCCTCTGTGTTGACTATTGATATGAACCTCTGTGTTGACTATTGATATGAACCTCTGTTTTGACTATTGATATGAGCCTCTGTGTTGACTATTGATATGAACCTCTGTGTTGACTATTGATATGAGCCTCTGTGCTGACTATTGAAATGAACCTCTGTGTTGACTATTGATATGAACCTCTGTGCTGACTATTGATATGACCCTCTCTGTTGACATGTTTGCAATGTTTGGCAGCTAATGAAGATCTCCCCAAGCGTCATGTTGGCTAAGATGCTCTTGGCCTGAGTTTAAGCCTCCTACATATTTCATTCACAATTCTGTGAAACCTCATAAATACATTAGCAGAATTTACTCATTCCATTTAATAGTATTTATGAAGTGGTTTTACAGTGCACAATGTACATCTAACAATGCCACACATAAAACACGCACATAACACACCGCCGTAACAGACGCCGCGTTTTATAGCCTTCACATTCACCTTGCACGGTCATTAACGCGCCAGTCAGCTCGTATTGCAGGTAACGTATAACGCCAACATTCTCTGTCATTGGTATTCTCCAGAATCCCGGTATTAGTCAGCATATTCCTAGATATTGCCCTGGTATGGTTTCTACATCTGTATATTCCTAGATATTGCCCTGGTATGGCTTCTACATCTGTATATTCCTAGATATTGCCCTGGTATGGCTTCTACATCTGTATATTCCTAGATATTGCCCTGGTATGGCTTCTACATCTGTATATTCCTAGATATTGCCCTGGTATGGCTTCTACATCTGTATATTCCTAGATATTGCCCTGGTATGGCTTCTACATCTGTATATTCCTCGGTACGACCCTGGTATGACTTCTACGTTAGTATATTCCTAGGTACGACCCTGGTATGACTTCTTCATTAGTATATTCCTAGATATTGCCCTGGTATGACTTCTTCATTAGTGTATTCCTAGATATTGCCCTGGTATGACGTCTTCATTAGTATATTCCTAGATATTGACATGGTGTTACTTCTTCGTTAGTATATTCCTAGATATTGACATGGTGTGACTTCTTCGTGAGTATATTCCTAGGCACGACCCCGGTATGACGTCTTCATTAGTATATTTCTAGATATTGCCCTGTATGACTTCTTCGTTAGTATATTCCTAGATATTGCTCTGGTATGACGTCTTCATTAGTATATTCCTAGATATTGACATGGTGTGACTTCTAGATTAGTATATTCCTAGATATTGACATGGTGTGACTTCTACATTAGTATATTCCTAGATATTGCCCTGGTATGACGTCTTCATTAGTAGTTTCCTAGATATTGCCCTGGTATGACTTCTTCGTTAGTATAGTCCTAGATATTGAAATGATGTGACTTCTACATTGGTATATTCCTAGATATTGCCCTGGTATGACTTCTTCGTTAGTATAGTCCTAGATATTGACATGGTGTGACTTCTACATTAGTATATTCCTAGATATTGCCCTGGTATGACTTCTACATTAGTATATTCCTAGATATTGCCCTGGTATGACGTCTTCATTAGTAGTTTCCTAGATATTGCCCTTGTATGACTTCTTCGTTAGTATAGTCCTAGATATTGAAATGATGTGACTTCTACATTAGTATATTCCTAGATATTGCCCTGGTATGACTTCTTCGTTAGTATAGTCCTAGATATTGACATGGTGTGACTTCTACATTAGTATATTCCTAGATATTGACATGGTGTGACTTCTACGTTAACATATTCCTAGGTAATCTACGTAAGTTAGAGCAATGTGTGTAACTAGAAATGGACGGTGAACCTAGTGTCAGTTCTATGATATTATTTTTCCAGATATTTTTGTTAGAAATACCCACATACTTCAGTAACACGTAAGGTCGTATAATGTGGACATAGTTTGAAATACGTAAACATGCTCACCAGAATCAGTTTGGGTAATTCCATAGTCACTGCGAAATACGAGTCAAATGTAGGCAGCTTGAAAGTCATGAACAGATGATAAGCACGCTGATTACTCCAGTTGAATGAGTTTTAGTTCGCGCCTGGCGACTTTCGCTTTTTATACGGATAATCTGCCCGAGGCGGTGGATCTATGGCGGGGCGAGGGGCGGGGCCTGGATATGATATACGAGCTATGTTCCTCACAAGAACGGTTGTATTCGTCACTTGCCTGCTGGCTGTCACGTGGTGTGCCAATCAAACACATACACAGAGAGACACACACGCGTATACTCCTAGAATATACTGAATGTTGGTACTGGGTTATGTACTGCGTATGTCTACCAGGCGTATGCCTCCCCCAACCACCTCCTCACCCACCTCACAGTACTCACAGTACTCACAGTACTCACAGTACTCACAGTACTCACAGTACTCACAGAACTCACAGTACTCACAGAACTCACAGTACTCACAGTACTCACAGAACTCACAGTACTCACAGTACTCACAGTACTCACAGTACTCACAGTACTCACAGTACTCACAGAACTCACAGTACTCACAGAACTCACAGTACTCACAGTACTCACAGAACTCACAGAACTCACAGTACTCACAGTACTCACAGTACTCACAGAACTCACAGTACTCACAGTACTCACAGTACTCACAGAACTCACAGTACTCACAGTACTCACAGAACTCAAAGTACTCACAGAACGAAGACGTAAGACAACAACGGAGAAACAGTTTCTAAAGAATGTTTAGTGCGCTGAGGTAGCAATGTAAGTATGTGGAGGAGTGTCTTTTACACGCCAGGTCTGTGTGCGCGAACCATGGCACACTGTGAGAGCACAAAGAATGATTCATAGTTTCATTTTGTAAGACCACTGGAGCCCTTTAGTGCCGACAGATTCATACAAACTGTGCCTACATGTCTACGGATCAGTTAACATGAAACATGAAGGAGAGTGAGAATAATGGTATACATGCCGGCGTTCGTTTACTTTGTGTCCATCTCACTTCCCGTGTTTGCTATTGTTGTTCTCTAGTTCATTTACTCAAATTTTATATTTTCTGTCCTTGAGATCAAGATGATAACTATTTGCAAAGGGAAAGGGAAAAAGGTGAAGTCTCGGGGTGTTCGCGATAATTAAAGCTGTGTACAGCCTCAACATGAATGATTCCGTTTTTCTAGCTTGCTACAGTAGGCTCATTCTGCATGAGACGCTCTTTCAAACTGTGTACACTAGTCTCAGGGAATGATGCAGTGTTTCCAGCTTGCTCCAGTAGGCTCATTCTGCATGAGACGCTCTTTCAAACTGTGTACACTAGTCTCAGGGAATGATGCAGTGTTTCCAGCTGTGCACAGCCCTAGGTTTAATTACAGATTTTTCCTATTTAATTGAGTAACATTTTATCCAAGTTTAAACCAAGGGATAAAAAACGAAAGAGGACAAAAATATGATAGGAAAAATGAATATCCCATGTTCAATAAAACAATACTTACAAATTGAATGAGAGAACATAAGACATGATTCTCTTTTTCAACTTGAAAATTTATGAGTCAAGAACACTTTCAATATTGAAACTGTAAAAAATGTAACAAACCAATGCGGATGCGTTTAAAATGTCCCACAGAGTATTCAGAATATCAAGCTACGAGACACGTTGAAGTAAATCCGGTGAGGGAGATAGATCATTTTTCAATTTGATTTAAGTCCATGGGCTAAAATACGAAGAGGGTTAAAAACATGCAGCCCCGGTACAAGCTCAACATGAATGATACGGCGTTTTTAGCTGTGTATAATAGGCTCAGTATGAATGATACGGTTCGTCTAGCTGTGTACAATAAATTCAACATGAATGATACGGTTCGTCTAGTTGTGTACAATAAACTCAACATGAATGATACGGTTCGTCTAGCTGTGTACAATAGTCTCAATTAGTCAATGAATTTGTATTTTCAAAAACAAAGCATTTACACCACTTTATTTGAAGCACAGTTACTTTTATCCGCTAGTATATTTAAGAAATAAACGACTCGTGGTCGTTTTTTATCGTACAATAAAACACTGCTGGGAGAATAGACCATGAGGGCCGCAGCCCCGATTACAATAAAACACTGTGTGGTAAAATAAAACACTTAAGGGATAAAAAAAAATCCATGAGGGGCGCAGCCCCGATAACAATAAAACACTGCAGGGAGAATAGACCATGAGGGGCGCAGCTCCGATTACAATAAAACACTGCAGGGAGAATAGACCATGAGGGGCGCAGCTCCGATTACAATAAAACACTGCAGGGAGAATAGACCATGAGGGGCGCAGCTCCGATTACAATAAAACACTGCAGGGAGAATAGACCATGACGGGCGCAGCCGCGAGTTGTATATTCTCCCTGCAGTATTTTATTGTACCATAAACAACGACCACGAGTCGTTTATTTCTCATAAGAGATATCAACATTATGTACAGCCTCTTTAAAGATGATGATAAAGTGTAGAGGCTTTAAAGAAATATTTACCCGTATTTAAATAATGATAACGCCTACAGTAGAATCCGACCTCAGGTTGGTGTATCCCGCATATTCTAACAATCCTCATGTCGATTACCGGTACCTATTCTCCCAGTACCGATTGTCATATCTCTCCCGCTTTTGGGTGCGATCGTTCAGCCATCGCGTTTATCTGCATTGCCCAGCAACATCTATGGGGAACAACTCACCAAACACTCGCCTCTCAAATATAACGTCGTCCAATGTATGACGTAATCAAATTGCGAACGCATGTTCGAATCGGGACGCCATGATAGAACACTGTTTTATCGCGAAATCAGAAAGGAAAACGACAACGGGGACTTTACTGTTGGAAGTTGTAAATCCATCTTCACATTCACCATTGAGAAAGGAGAATGACATTGAAAACTTTACTGTTGCAAGTGGTAAAGCCATCTTCACCTCCCATTTATATCTTTGCTATTGACAAAGCTACAGTTTCATCAGTGTGTCAACGTTTCTATGCGCAAAAAAAGTATTGCACTATTTTTTCAACTTTGTTGTACAACCTTTTCAAACTCATTGCTTCATTTGAGATCCAGTGTCTGGCTGTTCGTTTTGAGCATGTTAATGATAGCAAATGCATCCTGTTGAGTAGCCTTGAGTGTTAGATGTAATACGTTGGAAACTCTTTTGAAATTGTGAGTTGCATCCTCAAATGTATCAGTGCTAACAAGGTTACCTCAATACGTGTTAGTGTCCTGCATGATTCCTCAGGTGAAGTAGGGGGTACACTGATAAGTATCTCTTGAAGTTTCAGCTCAGCAAAAACCTGGAACAGACATTTTTAAATATTTTGTTGTCGGGTGCAAAGAAGATTTAATGTTTTTTCATCATCTCTTCAAGTGGCTGGAGGGGGGTATCTTATCAACGAAGAGAGGAATTAACAATTTTGAAGACCTCTTTTCAGAATTGATCTGCAGTTTCATGTGACGTTTTTCATGTGAAGGTTTTCTTCTTCAGGGTATGACTCGAAAGGTGTGTCATTTCTCATTTGATATCGATGGCACTTCTGAAACTGATAATCGACACTGGTTGTTCCCTGGCGTTGACGTTTTCTATTCAAGTTCTTTTCTTTGGTCTGTGAAGTTTGCAATTCAGAAATTATTCTACTTAAATGTGGTACATGAAACTCTTTTGATCTCAACAGCTGGAACGCATTCCGAAGGATTTTTTAAATTAAAAACTTTGCTGCTGGTGTAACAGGATGCACTTTCAATTTGAGGAAGAACAGGGCTACATAGAATACAGGAGTTTGCAGTGATGCAACTATTACCCTCAATTACTTTTTGCCTTATAATCTATGAAACAACCTACTTGTCTTGCACTCTTGAGTACTTATACTTATCATGCGCCTAGCAGGCAGCAGACAAATGGAGCTCTATATATATTTCCTACTCCACTTGCTGCACAAATTCACTATTGATGTGCAAGCTGTGTGAGCTCTTTGTCATGGTTTCCCCAATCACTGACACAAAAGCTTATTCAATGACCTCCACAAACATTTCAAAGATGAAATCACATCCCTACGCGATAGTCTGGGATCTGTCTGCGAAGATCTTGCTGGTCCCAATCACGTTGGCACCAAACTTGATTTGTTTCCATCAAGTTACAGAGACTGACGTTTTCACTAGAATTGTGGATTTGAGTCTTTCCTCAGGTGTTGTTGCCATAAGTTATACAATTGCCACTGTTGGACTACTCATCAAGTAGCCGTCATTGAATCCTCAGATCTTAAGAAAATACAGACCTGTATCCAACCTACCTTTCATTTCAAAGATCCTTGAATAGGTAATTAAATAGTAGCTGCTTCAACATCTCGAAGGGCGTTATTTATTTGAAAAGTCAGCCATCAGCATATAGATATGCTGACATCACTGAGACTGCTATGAATTGGGTTGTAAACCATCTTAACATGTCAGTAGACTAAAGGTGATATAGCCATCCTAGTTATTTGATATTATCTGCAGCTTTCAACACTATTGATCATGACAAGATTCTCCATCGGTTGGAAGCTGAATTCGGCCTCACTAGCACAGTCTTGAAACGGTGTACTTCATTTAATCAATCAATCTTTATTTCTAAATACTTCAGTCAAAACACAATCAGTTGCCGGTCGCGTATTCATCTTCCGAGTGCTCCTTACTGTAATGCGGTGTTCCACAAGGATCTGGCCTTGGACCCCTCCTCTTCAGTTTGTACTCATTTCTATGCTGACGATTCACAACTTTTAAGGGAAACACAGAAGCTATCCTAATTGTACCTCCACCTTGAATTCAGAAGTGCAGAATCACTTAGCTTGGCATCGGTCAATCATGTATAAAATTGCGATTTGCTGTCAAGAACCTCGGTGTGCATCTTGACTCTACTCTCACCATGGACGGATAGGTCAGTTATCAGTAAGACATACTATTACCATCTTAAAAATATTGTTTCAAACTGTAAACTGATCACCAAAGATATTGCCGATTCTCTATCAGATCTCTGATATTCTAGAGATTCGACTACTGTAACAGACTGTTGACTGGGACTTCAGGTCAACAACTGCAAAGACTGCAAAAGATCCCAAACTCTACTGCAAGAATCATTCCTCGGACGTAATTAGGATCACATGTTAAACCAGTAAGAAAACAGATTTCAAGTTTCTTTCATTGGCGTATCAGGCAGTGCATGGAATTGCTGCCTCACACCTTAATGCTTCTCAATGCATTAAGTCTCAGCGCAAATCCTCTGGTCAAAACAAGATTTGCTGCAGGTTCCAAATACAAAGTTTCATAGCAAACTTCACTATTCAGTCCTGCAATTTGTGTATGC